ATTTTTACTTTGAAACACTCCCTTACTCTGAACTTCACCATTGCAGCACCATGCGCAAGGATTCCAAGGCCAGCTCACACCCACTGCAGGGCTCCCTTTATACACACGCAGGCTTGTACACATGCAAACACATACACCCCTTCCTTAGAACCACGGCCGTAGAGCACAGGACCGCTTCATGGACTGAACTGCACTTTCATGTTTTTCTGAGACTTAACCTCCTTGAAAAGCATCCAAATTGATAAATTCTGCTTTAACATAAGTAATGTGACAGAAATGCTAAATGTAAATTGAATCATTTCACCAACCTCAAAACTTGGTTTAATAAAATATGTAGGTTAGAATCAATATATGAAACAACAGTATGAACATAAACACAATTCTGTTTATTTTATTAGACTTGACAGGATTGCTAGGTTTTCAAATGAGTTTCTGCTTCAGGAAACTGAGAAAATGTTGAGAATATTAAATACAGTCATCACCTTGTTAATTACAAGAATTTTGGATAAACCACTTAACTTCAACAAGCTATGTATTTGTTAAACTCATGACACATTTACTTTAAACACTGTTAAGGATAAAGCAGAGAAGTAGACTCCTTTTAAGAGAATTAAATTTCAGTTAACTGAAATTTTCAATTTATCAGTCTTCTAAGTAATGACACTTTCAACTTAGCTTCAATAAACACCTGTGTCTTAAAACCTGCTATTTGTGTTAAATTACTGTAACAGCCACATATGTTTACACTCAGCTTTCCTCTAAACTAAAACCATTCAAATAGTCCTTCTTTACCCTGAGCACATCAAAGCAGCACTTAGGGAGAAGAAATCTTTCATATTCACTGTGCTTTGCACACAGTACAAGACATACATATCTGCTGAATGTTGCCTTTATAGGTAACTGACTAGGGGAAGGTTCACCTATATAATTCCATAAATGCCAAAACTTGCACAAGCTGAGATGAACACTGACAGATCTTTTCTGCCTATGGACTGATACACTTTGTATAAGACTGGCTAGAAACTACTGCTTAAATAAAGCAATTATATCTTCCTAATTCTCATTCATACCAATGGCAGTAAAATAAAATTAACCTCCCTGAGGGAAAGTACTGCAAAAAATATTGTAAAATTTCTAAAAAATACCATTTTTAAGAAAAATATGTGTACCTTTTTTTCCTGATTACCCAAAACCATCTGCTTAATCCCGTATTTTAGAGAAACTAGAAATGAATGCATTTTAGAGAAACTAGAAATGAAAAAAGAATTTAAAGTGTGAACCTATCTATTCATTCAACAAATGTCTGAGATCGCACATATGCAGGCTATGAGGTGGCCACTTTCAAGAAACTATTTCTAACAGACAAAAAAGAGAGATAACATTACAAACCAGAGACAGACAAAAAAAGAGATGATATTACAATGTTAAGTATGATGGTAACTATATAGAGAGTAGTACCTAACACAGGCGGGCGGGGGGGGGGTATATTTATAGTCATATTTCGTAACAGAGTCACACTAACAAAACAAACCATACTCACTATGAAAAGTTTAATGCTATTTTTGGTTTCTATTAAATGAAAATAAACCTGTAAAAATCTTACTTGGGCATCAAGCAACCTAGCTATTTTGAGTCCCAATACTGAAATGCCAATTCAAAAAAGGGATAAGCATTTCCTAAAAGTTCTCATTAAGAGAAAAATACATTTTTGCACATAGAATTCACACTTAACTGTCAATGTCAAAAAAAGAGGGGTCGGAGAAGATGACAAAGTCCTGTCAATCATGCGAATAAAAAATCAGCAAGCACATAATTTTAACTATGACTTCTTCACATGGGCCCATGCACTGACCCCTTCCGTTGACCCTAAAATACATCCTTACATATCTCACAATAGCTGACATGTAAGTAACAGAAAATTACTCAGTGGGCTCCAACTTTTAAATAATCAAAAACTAAAACTTAACAATAGCATAGCACTTTCAACATCTCCAACAGAATAAGGCCAAGTTTTACTTATAACTGCATCATTATAAATCAAACAAAGTATATTAACAGCATTGAATTTATAACTGCATCATTATAAATCAAACAAAGTATATTAACAGCATTGAATTCTCAAGTAAATTAAAATGTGGTTCCAGTCAGATTATAAAAAGTTACCTTTATAATCACACTGGTGTAATTCTCTTAATAACAACAACAAAAAAAAAGTCAAAAAACAAAACAAAAACCTTATACTGCTCTCAAAGAAGGAGCACCTGAATCATGCTCAGGAAAGGGAAGGAGGCTTCACTTCATGTCTTTTGTTGCAGGCATTTATTTCCCTTAAGAAGGAAGGCAAAAACCATTTGTTCTTATGAAAAACTGATGCATTTCAACTTCAGGATTGTGACTAGTAGGGGGAAAACAACAGGAATAAGATGTGTACAAAGCATTAAAAAGATAAAATTAACTTGTTTTCATTTAATATGCTCAAAGCCATTTAAGAAAAGGTGCTCATACCAAACACACTGGCAAATGTGGTTAGCAGAGACCTATTTCTATTAACTCAAGTACATTACAGACTTGAGAGTAAACATTTACTACAAAACCATGTAAACTGGATAAAGTTAAGAAAAAGAAGTCACCTGCATCATAGTATGTACAAGCATTTTACATACACACTCTTGTCTACAGAGAAGTTAAGCTTCAAAGTATTGAATAAATGACCCATGATACAAATTATCGTTTCCGTTATTACCTTATTATAGCTGCTGACACCTCCTGGGTGAGGAGAAAAAAGGATAACGGAAAAAACTGATTATGAAAACTAGCTTCCTTCTCATTACTAGTAATGCAAAGGTTTGTGCATACAGAAACACAACCTTTGCTCCTAAAGAACAGATTACTTCAACTTAAAATCAGTTTGTCACAGATACTGATTATTGTCAACAATGCTTCTTCGGCGGATGGGGGGGGGGACCAACTATAATAAACATATAACAAAATTCCTCTCAATACAAAAAAAATTACCATGTAATTTCTAAACTGAGCAAGATTTCTCAAAAAAAAAAATGCAGTGTAGGAAAACTAAAAATATGATATATTCAATAATGAATGCATAATGAATAGAAACAAACATTTAATATTGGAAAATGTTTAACTAGCAAAGCAAGTTTTAATTTATTTTTTTGCCCTCATTTTCAAGGGCGAGGAAACAGGGAGAAAAAATAAATTGAGGTCAAAAAGAAAATTTACATCTCTCCCTCACCCCCCAACCCCAAAAAAAGATCACAAAAAAGTGAACACAAATTTTTCAGATCACTAATGTGGACTCTAACATGTTTGCTTTTTCTGAGCCATGCACTACTTTTTCAGTTATTCACAATAAAAAGATTTAGACTAGCCTTCCTCAAAAACTATACCATATAGTCACATTAATTTTCATATCTGCCTAAAAATGAACACTCAAAATCTAATTTTAATATCTCTAGATTTCCATTTCCCCCTATTTGGGATTTTTAAGGAGAGTGATTTTATTTTTATTTTTATGCCATCTCAATTCTAAACTGCAATACTTTATTAAAACAGAACTTACATTCAAATACTGTTCCTGCTTAAGTTTCATTTTCAAGACAAAGGAAGGTTTCCCAAAAAAAAAAACCAAAACAAACCTATTCTTTCTCATGGATAGTCCCAGGCTGGTTCAGTGGAAAACTTCTCTTTAAAGGAGGAGCAGTTTAACACTTTAAAACCTCAATCAAAAGAAAAGCAGTTTAACACTTTAAAACCTCAATCAAACCTATCTGTGATCGTCTCTATCTCAATGGAAGACCAAGTATCAGAATTATCAACTGATGGTATGTCTTTCATGAGACTGGTCCAACCTAGAATTCATTCAACAACCTAAAAAAGCAACCATGCTAAATAAAGTTACTTCAGAGAAAAATCTGATATCCCCTCTCCTGCCCCCCCCCCACACACACACAAGAAAACCAGTAAACAAAAAAAGACTGTTCACAATCCACAGTCAAAATATAATCTAAAGGTTAACTTGGCATAAAATTAAAATGCTTACTCTAAAGCATTTAAGTTTTAATCAACCAAACAAAATCTAGAACACAGAAATCCCCAATGTGTAACTGGCCAAATAAATATTCTCAAACTGACCAGGAAATTTTTTTAAAGCTTACTTTTGAAAAATATTTCAAAATAAAATTGCTATTCATTTAAAACTTCCAATTATCAGAAGATAGTACTGTCAGTAAGTACAATATCTTGACTAAGCACTGAAATAAAATTTAGTTTTAACTAAATTTAAAAAGAATTCTTCAGCCAAGCATATGGACAAAGGAAATTATAATTCCTAACCACAAACAAGTAGATTAATTTGTTTTGGACAATGACAGGCCACAAAGGAGTAAAGGACGACTTGCCAAATTTGAGAATCAAATCACCCAGCACAGATAAAAACGTGATGAACTTCAGAAACCAATATTTTTCTTAAGTCAAGTGAAGTTTATAATAAGGCTAACAATTACAGGAAGCAGCTTATTCCACACTAAGGAATAACCCCTTTTCCTCCCTGTTTCTACTGGTCTGATAAAAAACAATCAAACTTCCTAGTCATTATGCTGTCCCTTTTTAAACATCCTAGCTACTATACAGGAGCAATCTTTATGCTGGGGAGTTGAAAAGGCTAAAACTCAATAGAGACTGAGACAGAGATGAAGTAAACCATAATAAAAATAAAAAATACATATTACTTAGACTGTTTCCTCCTCAACCAGTGGTTTACAACATTTAAAACTCAAACGATTACTATTTCCAAACACAGAGAAACGAACAAACCAACCTTTGTTAGAAATAATGGACATAATTGGAATTCTAGATTTAGAAGATTAAAAATTATCACGCCAAAGGTTAGAACCAACTTCAATCACCATTTAGAGATTTGAGGCCAACATAACAGCACAAATGAGAAGCCTTTCAGAACTAGTCAGAGAAACCCGACTCACCTCAAACAGCACAGATGAGGAGACATCTCCAAACGTTCTCTCTCCTGTGCTGTCCCACTGACTCCAACATTTTAATTCAGGCGCAACTTTAACCCTAATATGATCAAAGCTTATTTTCATTCTAATGACTGTAAAAGATTTCTTCTATACAACTACGCTTAAAGAAAAAGCTCAACAAAGTTTTTACAAATACCACTAAAACTTTAAATGCATCAAAACGTGCCAAGAAAAAATAGCGTTATTACTTCCATAGCGCATGTGGAATTCATGAAATCACATGAAATGTGATAAAATTGTTCCGAAGTGTCTTCAAATATATATGGACACAAAATGACAAAATGACCTATGATTTAAGTGTCAACTAATTTAATATAGGTCAGGTAACTGAGAATGTTACACATTTTGCTCCAAACATCTCTAATGCTTAAAAAAATATAACTGGCGCCCCTTAGCGCCCACAATTGGAAATACTCAAGAGTTCCAGCAATTTTTTTTTTTTTTTGACATTCCAGAAAGTTTTCTGCCTCCACAATCTTTCAAATGCCAACACAAATAGGAAAAGCAGAACCCCTTAAAGGCACAGCTCAAGTTTTCCCCGGAACAATCTGATATGAACCGATTTGCTGTTTCAACTATTGGGGGGGGGGGGGGGAAGCTCATCTCAATGAAATCTATCTACTGCTGTATGATTAACACATAAGCACACACACACAAAAAAAAACAGTATGCAGTAATATCCAACAGTTTTCTACTTTTCGAATTGTTTCTGAGACTTTCATGGTAACCAAAGCTCCTGGGATGCTTCTTCAACCTCCTTTTATTACGCAGATATTTCCGGTCTTTTGTTCTTGTTTGACATTCCAACTCCCCAACCTTCAGATCCCTTTCTCCCAGGTCTGTTGTAAAATGTCTCAAAATCCTTGCGAAAAACCTACAATCCAATGTTCATCGCTATGCAGCAGTTTTCCGTTTTCTTCAAACATTCCTCCCGGAGATGCTTCTAAGCAGGAAAAAAAAAAAGAAACTCCACGCTACTCGATTTTCAAAAATGACCCCCTTCGTAGTGGTCGCCTTTCCCCTGGCGGCCACGGAAACGCCCCCGGACAGGGACGTTCCGGCCCTGCCGCGCCGGCGGACCTCGGTCGAGCCCTCTCCGAGTCGGCCGGAACGAATGTCCTCGGCGGTCCTCGCTCCTCGCAGCTCTCCGCCGACGAAGCTCTGCTGCAAACTTTTGCTTGCTTCGTCTTCGCCCTCCCGGGCGCCTCGGCTTCCTGTCCTACACACCGAGGCGGCCGCGGCCCTGGGGGAAAGCTCTCCGCCCAAGTTCTCTCCAAGTCGGACGCCGCCCGCACGCGTCCTCGCGGTATTTCGCGTTCACCCCCCCAAAAGTGAACTTAAAACTCCCCGACGGGGCTCGCTTCCCCAAACAAAAGGACAGAAAAGTGCTTTCCGCTGTCATTTTGTCCTCGCCTTCGGCTACGGCGGCTGTACTTTCGGTCGGCTCTGGAATGCCTTTCAGTTTAAACAGACCCACGCTCCTCGGTCCCCTCGAGTATTTACAAGCTGCGCAAACTTCCAAAAACAAAAGCACAAGCCCCACTCGGGGAACCGCCAGGACCTCTGCTGGGGGGTGGGGGGGTGGCCCCTCCGGGAACGGCCCCGAGGCCGGTGTCCTTCAGGCGCCCGCGAGGCGGGCGAGGCCGGGCTGCTCCCCGGGAGGCCCGCGGAGCTCGGGGCCGTCGCGGAGCTCGAGGCCGGGCCGGGAGCCGGCAACCCCGCAGCCTCCCCAGGCGCACCCGCCGGGGCGCCAGCGACGCAGGGCCGGGCCGGGGTGAGGGAGCCCGGGGTGGGGGGGGGCGTCCCACCCGCGGGTCCCGCCCGAGCCCCGGCCCGCCCGCCCCGCGCCCCCCGGCC